CAGTTTTTTTTTTGTTCATTTATGGTCGTGTTTATCGTAGAAAAATCATGAGGATCAGATGAGAGGGTTCGTCAGAAAAAAAAACGATTGGGGGAAACCCGGAATTTTTTCTCTATTTCAAAATCTCCCCATTTCCCTTAATATTTCCGTGTTGCAATCAAAAAATAAAAGATTTTCTAAGCGATCACGTGTTGTAAAAAGAACGAAAAAAAAGAATCCAAGAGGGAATCTATTTGTGTTTGAATAGATGAAAACAGAAAAAAAAAAGATTTGCATTTTGACGTGGCGAAAAAAAAAAAATGGAACACAAACAGGGTAAACAGAGAAAGATTCGCTGATGAAATTTTGACTGTTTCTTTTTTTCTTTTGAGTTGTTTTTCAGATTGAAATCTAGATTCTTGATTTGTTGAGAGTTTTTCAAAAATCATACCAACAAAATTTGAGTTTCAGGTTAAGAAAAAAAAGTGTTCGAATTTAAAACCAAATGTGCGTTAGTAGCTAAAGCATTAGTAACTAAAGCATTAGTAGCTAAAGCGTTAGTAGCGTTAGATTTTCAAATACATTGAGAGTAGAAAAAGTAGAATATTTTCCTTTCGAGTAAATAGTTACTCGAGTAACACTTGCATGAGTCATTTTTACTCGATTAATCGACGTTTTTCGCCGAGTAACGACGAGTAATCCTCTTTACACGTCGAGCAAATTGAATATCTTTACATTTTGAAGAGAATTTCCCACCAAATCAGTTACCGTATTTTCTCTAATAGTAGTGCACCCGGGCAAGCCGAGTTGGTGACTATTTTACGGTTTCCAAGTTTTCCCAGAAGCTCAACACTCTAATCCCCCACTAGATCTCATCGTCAGCTACATTTTCCGACCCCACATCGATAGGTTCTGATAAGCGGTTCTCGAGATTTCGAGCAATTTAGACGAGGTTCATGGTGCACTAGAGAATACGGTAAACAGTTGAATATCTTTAAAAAGAAAACGTATATAAATCAGCGCCCGTGATTTTTTCGAGCCAATCTTTTTCGCGCCAAGCTGGCCTCTAAGTTTTGTTGTCCCGGCGTTTCATTTCTTTCAAAGTTTTCACAGAAGCTCAACACTCTAATCCCCCACTAGATCTCATTGGAACACAAAAAATGGAACACATACAGGGTAAACATTCGCTAAAATTTTGACTGTTTGTTTTTTTTTGAGTTGTTTTTCAGATTGAAATCGAGATTGTTGATTTGTTGAGAGTGGAAGGGGAAGACTTGAGAAAAATCAGAGATCAAAAATGGGGAATGATCGATTTTCTGAAGTGTGCTCAACGAAAATTGAAATTTTACAACTTCAATGAGTTAAATGGTGAATTGCATTGAAAATTTGAATGCTTTTCAATCTTTTTAGCACTTTTTGGTCACGTACTGTAGTCAGTTAAGAGAGTTTTGCGTTGTTTTTTTGAACACCACGATATTTTGAGCGTATAGTCGCGTAGCTGTTACTGTTTTTACTGCAAATTTGGTGAACATTCAATGAAAAACTCATCTATTCTAGTCATTCGATAGCCTTGAATCTCTCCTTGAAAACTAGAAGAAAGTTATCAAGAGTTTTTTTCGCGAATAAATAAGAAATAACTTCTTGAGATTAAGCAAAAGTTCAAAAGCTTGAGTTGAGACAAAAAATAATCGTCATTAGTACGATCCAGTAGGCCAAATCGCCGTGAATTTGTTCAAGTTTTCATGTTAACTTCCTCGGGAGCAAGCGAGATCAAGTGCGTTGTGGTGTAATGGTCGCGGGTTCAAGTCCCGTTGCCTGGTACAGTTGCCTGGTACAGTTGCCTGGTATAGTTGCCTAGTACAGTTGCCTGGTACAGTTGCCTGGTACAGTTGCCTGGTACAGTTGCCTGGTAGGCGAAAGGTCGCGGGTTCAAGTCCCGTTGCCTGGTACAGTTGCCTAGTACAGTTGCCTGGTATAGTTGCCTAGTACAGTTGCCTGGTACAGTTGACTGGTACAGTTGCCTGGTAGGCGAAAGGTCGCGGGTTCAAGTCCCGGCGGTGCGCAAGTTTTTGAACTACTCTATTTCCAACTTTCGTACTCAAACTGAAAGCAATACGTTAATGTATTCCTTTTTGTTTTTAAACAAATTTACAAAGCTATAAATCATTTAGACTCATTGAGTTCTTCATTTTCATTTTGCGAGACTCAGATCTTTGTTAGCCTCAATTTGGTGGATATTAGCACTAAACCTGGAATCGAATCAGGGATCAGTTCAAGTTCAAAGCCAGTTCAAGCCAACGTTGAGTTTAAAAAGCCTTTGCTAACCTTTGCTAGCCTTGCTAGCCTCATTTTGGTGGATATTAGCACTAAACCTGGAATCGAATCACGGATCAAGCCAGCTCAAGCCAACGTTGAGTTTAAAAAGTAACCGGAACTCGTCAACGAATTGCTGTCGGATCAATCCAGACGAATTACCAAATCAATCAGCCTTAGAACACTGCTTTAAATGTGAAATGATTACGGCAACTCGTGCAACAATGAAAGATTCTGTCCTTTTTCAATTCTCTTCAATTCAATTCTCTCTACTTCTTATTATTTCAAGTGTTGATAGCCAAAAGATAGCCATTTTTTCATAGAATTTAAATCTTACTACCTTTTTTTTTAAATAGCTTCTTTAAATTTTGAGTTATCACAATTTGTGTGAGCTCTGTGGGGGCACCAGTATTACCAGTATAAGAAAATTTGTCAAACTTGTCAAATAAACAAGAACTGCTGAAAAACTTGTTGAAAAAATTCAAGTTTCAAACTAATCGTAATCAGTTCAATGAGCAAAGTTTTAATCGTTGCGTTTCTTGATGTCATTATATTGGGTTTTCCAGTTATGAATGCGCGTTTTTTTACTATTTTGTAAATTTCTCATACCGAAATACCGAAATCAAGAAAATGATATATATGAGTATTATTTGAAAGCTGAAGATCTCCTCTACATTTTGATATAAAAACGTTTTTGAATTTGTTCAACTTTTGGGCAAATTGACTGCACAGAAGAAGAGGTGGCCAAAAAATGGAAGGGTGCCTTTGGATCAAGTTTTGGCTCCGCTCAAATTGAGTTAACCGTTTGATGTTTGGCCAATAGATATATCTATACAAGTTTTTTTTTTAAATATAACAATTTCAAAGCACCTTTACTTTTCTTTTCTGGGCGCTTACACCATAAAACTTGAGGAATAGCTAAGCTGAAATGGGTTTTTTCGAAAACGACCTCTCCCCTTGTGCAGTCAATTTGCCCAAAAGCTGAACAAATTCCAGAGCTTTTTATATTAAAATGTAGAGGAGATCTTCAGCTTTCGAATGATATATAACACTCATATAAATCTGCTCGATATCTTGAGAAATTTACAAAATAGTAAAAACGCGCATTCATAACTGGACAACCCAATAGTTTCTCTTTGTTTGGATAGCACTGTTTCCTCTTCTTGATGTCATTATAGCTGTCATTCAATCCAATAGCTGTTTTGCTATCATTTTTCTAATATAAAATTTTCAATAAGCAAATTCAATAAGCACTATTTTATCGAAATTCACTGATCTATTAGGGTTGTGCAAAAGAAACTGCCGATGGGTATCAGCTCTCATTTATCAGAAACGAGCGATGCTAACGGCATTATTTTTTTAATGTTTTGTTCGCATATTTGTTTGCTATTTATTGTTTACTATTTATTTCGACATTTGAATTTTTTGGTTGTTGTTTATTTTATTTAAAAAATGCTTATATTTTTTTATTTAGATCATGTTGGAGCAAAAGTTTGTGCTACGAGCAGCATTACTGTTTAAATTCAAAATTGGAAAGTCTGCTGCCGAATCGCATCGTTCTCTCTGTGCTGCTTTCGGAGATGGCAGTTTGTCTCTCAGGCAGTGTCAGACTTGGTTTCAACGATTCTGAGAGGGAGACGAGGCTTTGGAAGATTACGAGCACGGTTCGAGGCCAGAAGTCGTGAACGAAGCCAAGCTGAGGGACGTTATACAGGCCGATCCATGCCAATCTGCTCGAGATCTTGCGAAAATATTCCATTGTGATCATGTCACCATCGAATGCCATCTTTTTTTTGAATTTACCGTCAAATCGGCAGTTTCTTTTGCGCCACCCTAATAGATTTCCTCTGTTAGTTTAGGTTGCAACTAAAATCCAAGATTTTCTATTGATTTTCACTTACAACAGTAGCTTTTAACAGCTTCTTTTAACAGCTTCTTTTAACAGCTTTGAACAGCTTCTTTTAATAGCTTCTTTTAACAGCTTCTTTGAACAGCTTCTTTTGACAGCTTCTAACAGCTTTTAACAGCAAAACCAAGTTTCAAAATAATGCAAGTCGACTTAAGTCCCAAATTTTAAACCAAAATTATCAGCAAAATGCAAGAATGTGTCAATCAAATTTTCGCGAAATGTTTCCTAATCCGAATTTCCGATTCAAATTGTGGATTTTCTTTTGCAAACAGGTTAAATCTGTCAGTGAAGTTCGTCAGAAGTTTTCCCTCAGCAATTTCTGATTTCTTTTAAAGTTTTCAAAAAACATTTATAAATAACAATTTATATGTACAAAAACAAAATGAAAACGATTGAAAAAAAGGGGAAAAATCACCCGTAAACGCAATGTGACTGGGAAAACACAAAAAAAAAAAAAGAAAGAAAAGCTATAAAGAAAGCTGGAAAGAAAAAAAGAAAAATAGAAAATCTTTTTTGAAAAAGTTGTGTTTCAAAAAAATGAAAATAAAAATGAAAAATTTCGATTCAGATTGCAAGAATCTGTACTCGTGAAATGGGAAACGGGTTTTTCAGAGGAAAAACTACACGTAAGCTAGTTTTTTAAAAAAAGAAAAAAAAGAGCTTTACAAACAATACTAACAAACAAAATTCTTGTTTCAAAAATTGAGATTGTCATCAAAAAATTTGTGACTAGTCAATGGGAATCGGGGGTTTTTTTGAGTGAAGAAAAAACAAACGGCAATCAAGATTTTCCCAATCAGCAAACTGTGATGAAAGCCTCCTCTTCCTCCTGGAAATTTGAATTTAGAAAGTTAGAAATTTAAAAATTTAGAAATTTAAAAATTTAGAAATTTGGAAATTTAGAAATTTGGAAATTTAGAAATTGAATTGAAAATAAAAATCGAATAATTTTGGGGAGTGGGACATTTTGTCCTTTTTCTCTTTCTACCGTAACCTTGTCTTGTCTGTCTTCTACCGTAATCTTGTCTGTCTTTTTTTGGGGAGGGGGGTGAGACAAATGCTACCTTTTTTTTGCGCACTCGGCCAAAAGCGTACCTTTTTTTCGCTGGAAAAGGCCGTAGAGCATCAAAAATATTTCCTAATAAGGGAATCGTATGCGTAGATTCCGAATTTTGACAAATCAGACCTCGCTGACACGTCAAATTTGGGCTAAAAGGCAAAAACTGCGGAAAAGCGTTAAGTTGCGTAGTTTTTGCCTTTTAGCCCAAATTTGACGTGTCAGCGAGGTCTGATTTGTCAAAATTCTGAATCTACGCATACGATTCCCTTCTATGAAAACATTTTTGAAGCTCTACGACCTTTCCTAAGGCCTTTTCCAGCGAAAAAAAGTGCGCGAATGTCCGGGTGCGCAAAAAAAAGGTCGCATTTGTCCCACTCCCTAATTTTGTGATAAATGACTGAGATTTTACTATATAAAAGCTTAAAATCTTAACAATTTGTTGAACAATTATTGAGCAATTATTGAGCAATTGTAAAATCAATTGCCAATAAGCTTTTAAGCAATGGTTGAAGCTCAAGGAAAAGCTCAACAATTGCTTAAAGGGTTTTTGAGCAATTGCTTTTACAATTGCTTTTACAATTCTTTCAACAAATGTTGAGCTTTTAAGCTTTCTTTATACAATAAATACAATAAATACAATAATAAATATTATGCTCTATTAAATCGCTATTAAATCGTATAATTTCTATAATACAATAATAAATATTATGCTCTATTAAATCCCTATTAAATCGTACAATTTCTATTTTGATAGTAGTAATTTCTATTTTAACAGTAGTAACAGGACTGATTTTAACAGTAAGATTGAAAGTGTTATGTGATTGATTTAAAAATCGCTTTTCCTCTAGTACAACTTTGAAACAAAGATTTTAACAAATGCAAAAATGCAAAAATGCAAAAACAAAGACTTATAAAGCAACTTTCTACAATTTTGAAATTTTTTATATTTTTTGAGCTACTAATAATTAAATTCGTAATCTCTTCTTTAATCTTAACAATTTTGAAACTCAAATTTTTTCATTCTTTGAAATAGCTGATTTCTCCGGGGAAACATTTGACATTGTAAATACTAATTTATTCTAATTTCTAATTTATTCTAAAATCTCACCTCTTCAACAATAGTTGGCATTGGTTCGATGTGTGAAATCGTTGAGGAAAGAGAAGTTCTGAAAGGCAATTGATTGATTGATTGATTGATTGACAAATTGATTGAAGTATTGGAAAAAAATAAGTTAACGCTTAATTTGTTAAGATTAAACATTTAAAAAAATTCTTAATTAACATTAAAATTTGATTTTCATTTGATTTTCACTGATTTCTGTTACTTTTAGCTACAGTAATCTAAAATTTTCAATCAATCAGGATTTAATAGAATGTTTCAAAATTGTAAAGGGCAGGCAATCTATCTCTCTTTTTCGAGATTTATTCAAAGTTAATCCCACGGTTAGTTCAAGGAAAGGTTCTTTCGTTTTAGAAATTCTTAGTTTTAGAAATTCCAGTCACCTCCAATCAGTTTGTCTATAACTCTTTTCCAATAAGAACGCCCAGAATTTGGAATCGACTCCCCAGAGTTTTGAGAGAGTCCAATAGTCTTAAAGCCTTTAAATCTGTAGATGATCTTGATCTTGAAGCTCTAGTGGATCCTTGACGTTATCTGTGCTACCCATATATTACATCTATTATATCGTGTTGCCTTTTATCGGCCCTTTTCGTGTTTATGTGTATGAATTGATGTGTTTTAATCTTAAATCTAGCGCTATCTCAGGTCCTGAATAAAGTCTCTATATATTACCTTTGCTTCTTCTTTGCTCGTTCTCGTTTCGCCTCTAGGGAGCAGAAAGAGGATTTTTCCCGGACGGAATCTGAAATTTATCGAAATACGTAAAAAGTTGTAAAGCAATTTTTTCTTTACAATTTCATAGCTTTTGTGCACAAATTTTTGAATAGATTATATCTAATTTTAAACGAAATCTCCATTAATCCCGTATTACTTTAAGATTAAGGATCTATATTGAAACTCAATCTTTTTCATTCCCATATTTCTTCGGGATTTCTTCAATTTCTTTATCAAAATTTTTGTTTAAAATCAAAATTTTCAAATTTCCGATTAAAAGGTGTTTTGTGTGGGTGAAAAAAAGGGATTTGAAAAGGATTTGAAGGGGTTGAAAGGGATTTGAAAGGACAGACAAAAAATTCCGGGAAAAATCTCCCCGAGATGAGGAGATTGTCAAAATTTTCACAAAACGATGATAGAAAACTGGTTTTTTAAGTTTTTTCCCCCATTAAATCTCCAATTTTTCACGCTTATTTCAGATTTGATCAAAAGAAGGAATTTCTCGCGGGAAAGCTGTCTTCGATTTTTGGAAAGAGAACAGATCTTTAGGGGGAAAGGCTTTTTTAGTTTCGGGAGATTTTTGAACGTTTCCTTTCGAAAAATCGATAGTTTTAGGGCAAAATTTAGTCAAAAGAAAGAAAGGAAGAAGGGAAGAAAGGAGGAAAGAAAGGAAGGAAGAAAGAAAGGAAGAAGGGAAGAAAAGAAAGGAAGAAAGAAAGGAAGGAAGAAAGAAAGAAAAAAGAAATTCAAAATAAATTCTGAATATTCTCTTGTTTTTACTCAAAATAAGCCTTAAGAAGTACCAAAACTTTTGCAAAATTGATACCAGATTTTTCATTTTATTATACAAAAAATTGAAACAAACAAATTTTTCTTGATAGTAAAATTTTGTTTACTGCAGTTAAATAACTAGTTTTCTTTTGCAATAAACTTTAAACTAATTTTTAAAAAGAAATTCACAATAACTTTTTAAAATCAAAACAATTTTTAAGGTTTTATTGGGATAGGCTAATTTCCGCAATTTTTTTTAGCGCAGCTCGCCATAACTTTCTTCTAAGTGGATCAATCTTTATGATTTTGGTGTCATTTTATAGATCTCAACAAGTGCAACAAAATGACACCAAAATCATAGAGATTGACCGACTTAGAAGAAAGTCATGGCGAGTTGCGCAAAAATTTGGGGCAAAGTAGCCTACCCCGTTTTATTAATTAATTAACTAATGCTAATTAATTTTGTTTCAAATTTGAGAAAAATTGAGAATATTCGATGTTGAGAAAAAAATTTCGAATTAGTGATCGAAATTTAATGTGATTGATGATCGACTTTTTCCTCTATACATGAAAAAAATTGAAACAAGCTTTTTTTTTTGCCTTATTTCTTTTGAAATTCAATTTTAAAATCAATCTCGAAAGACAAAAATTTAAATAAATTTTTCAAAACATTAAGACTTTTTTTTTCAACTCGAAACCATTACAAGAATTCCCTTTTCTATTACAAGAATTCTATTACAAGAATTCTATTACAAGAATTCTACTACAAGAATCATTACAACAAAGCACCAAGACCACAAGCTCTCAAGATTCTCAAGTCACAAGATCTATACAAGTCTACAAGCAACAAGATCCCAAGTTCTACTACAGTCTACTACAAGTTCTTTGTCTTCCTTACGTCTATTACAAGAATTCTATTACAAGAATTCTACTACAAGAATTCTATTACAAGAATTACCAGAACTATTACCAGAATTCTATTACAATAATGATTACAAAAATTCTATTACAAGAATTCTATTACAAGAATCATTACAAGAATCATTACAAGAATTCCCTTTTCTAATATCCAACTTTCCATTCCCAAAAAAGAAACCCAAGATGTTTTCTTCCAAATATTTTCTTTTCTTTTAGAATCATCAATGCTTTTTTGAGTTAAAAATTCAGGAAAGCACTCTCAGGAAATTCAGGAAAGCACTCTCAAAAGCCTCAAAGCTCATTTTTCATCTTTTTCATCTCTTTTTCGCCTGTTCTTTCATTGAAATCGAACCCATCTCTCTTTTTTTCGTTTTTTTCTCAGAACTGACCACGTAGCTCATTATAAATGTGCTTCAACTTTTAAAACCGAAAAAAAACGAAGAAGTTTTTCAGTGAAGATCTTTGAAAGGGTTTTCCTTTTTTGATTTCTGATACCTTGAGAGGTTTAGAGAATGATTTGAAGGGGTTACTTTTGGGAAAAATAGGAAAGGAAAGGCCAAGGTTTTAGCTTTTAGGAAAAGCCAATGTTTTAGCTGGGTATTTTCAAAAATTGCTAAGGATACTGCAAAAAATAACTCTTAAGTAAAGTAAGCATACTGTAGCTTTGTTATGAAAACAATTTCTGAAAAGTTTAAAACAGTCAAAAACAGTTAGGGAATAAAAAAAAGATTTCTACCGGGTTTCAATATTTGAGCTTAGCCTAATTTTCCTTCTACGAGCTTTTTGGATCAATCTAGCAACTTTATGAATCAATCTTTTAAGTTAAAAATCTTTTTTTTCAGCATTTTATCTCAGTATTGAAAAGTTTAAAGCATTTAAAGGAAAAACATTGGTTTAAAAAACTCAAGTTTCAAGATGAGAAGGATTGAGGTTGAGCGGAGTTTTTTAATATTTCTTTTTTGCTTTTTGTTTTAATAAAATCCTAATAAGCTAGTAAAAAGATAGTTTTGATATAAACAATCTGTGATATCAAATCTTGTTCTTGTTCTTGTTCTTGGGCTTGGTCTTGGTCTTGGGCTTGGGCTTGGTCATGTTCTTGTTCTTGTTCTTGTTCTTGGTCTTGTTCTTGTTCTTGTTCTTGGTCTTGTTCGTCTTGTCTTGGCTGGCTGCTGGGCTGGGCTGCACTGTCTTGCCTGGTCTTGTTGTTGTTCTGGCTGCTGCTTGTCGCTTCTTGTTCTCTGTCTCTTGTTCTTGCTTGCTTGTCTTGCTGGCGCCTTGCTTGCCTGCTCTCTCTCCGCTTGCGCGCTTCTTGGCTGTTGTCTTGGGCTTGGTCTTATTCTTGTTCTTGGTCTTGTTCTTGGTCTTGGTCATGTTCTTATTCTTGTTCTTGTTCTTGTTCTTGGTCTAGGTCTAGGTCTAGGTCTTGGTCTTGGTCTTGGTCTTGGTCTTGTTCTTGTCCCTGTTCTTGTTCCTGTTCTTGTTCTTGTTCAATTCCAGCTATCCACAAGCTGCTTTCTTTTTCAAAGTTGATTAAAATTAAGGCATATTTGTTAAAATCATGTTTACTTCAATACTTAAATATTTCAATTCAATATAAAGCTAGTTTTCAAATGTGGCGATCACTTGTTGATCTTCCCGATCCCTTTTCAGTAGCTTTTCAATTCCTACTCGTTGATCATCGTATTCCAAAATTTTTCATAGACTAGATCAATATTTATTTGTTTTTCAGACTGCGAACTGCAAATCTCCCCTCACCAAAACGATTATCACAAAAAAAAAGTGCACACGTGCTACTTTTTATGGCCATTCCCCCATCAATTTTTGGTTTTTTGTCTCGTTTCTTCGTAAACAAAGCTTTTTGTTTCCCCTTTTTGTCTACCAAATCACCTGTTGCTATATTTGGATAAGAGCTTGCAGAAAACGAGACTAAAAAGATACTGATCTTTGCAAATTTGGCAGCTTTTGGCAGCTTTTGGCTATCGAATTTTTCAATTTTCATCTAATAATCAAGAATTTAGCATCTTTTTCAGTAAAAAAGGTCAATTTACGATAATTGACCACTTTCACTGGTCAATTATCGTAAATTGACCAGTGAAAGGTAAAAATTTCAAAAAATTTCAAAAAACGGCTAGTTAAAAGGGGAAAAGTTGGGTAAAAATGTGGTAAAATTACCCAAAAGTAGACTCAGTCAATGGATTACGGTAGAAAAGGCGACAAAACGCCTCGAATATTCAGTTTTTCAGTGTGCTTTTTCTTTGCCATTAACTTAATTAATAGGGAAATTGAGCAGAAAGAAAAATTGACACTTTTTGCTATTTTTTGCTATTTGAAAAGTTTGAGTTTCAAAGAAAGGCTAGTTTAAATTGAAACGCGAAAGTTAATGAGTCATTTCTTTCTTTTTTTATTTTTAAATTAGATTTTAAACTTACCGTAGAATAGAAGACCGGGTAAAGAGTATGATCGCGTACTCCTGCGTAGCAGCCCTTTTAAAATTTCTTTTCTGCATAAAAGCTTTCAATCAAGTGCTATAGGGCTGGAAAATGACTCAAAAATGCCACGTGAGCTAACAGATTTTTGAGCCATTTTTCAACCCTATAGCACTTCATTGAAAGCTTTTATGCAGAAAAGAAATTTTAAAAAGGGCTGCTACGCAGGAGTACGCGATCATACTCTTTACCGGGTCTTCTATTCGAACAAATACGATAACCTTTAAATCTTTAGGTCTTTAAATCTTAAGAAAAATAATTTCTAAATATCCATTTTTCCCCTAAGCTTATCAAGAATCCCTCACAGAATTTCAATTTCAATTTTTTGGGTGTGTTCTGGTTGAGGAAGGCGAAAGAAATAGACGAAAAAAAGGGGGGAAAGTTCAACAATCCTTCCCGAAAGATCTCTTCTGATAAGAATTTTTATGGAATTGCTTAGAAAAAAAGAAGGGAATGAATGTTTTATCAGGATATAGGATTGGTTTTTGGTCGCAAAATGCCCAAAATGCCCAAAATGCCCAAAATGCCCAAAATCTACCAGAATTACCCTTTCAGAGCGCTTTGTTGTAAGTTCAAAAGTTGAACGTTTGAAAACAGTAACTATTTCTTGACAATAGCTTATAGAGGACTTATTTTTTTTTAATCTAATTTATTTGAATCTAATTTAATCTAATTTATTTGAATTTATATTATTTTAAAACAATAATCGAGAAAAAAAGAACTTTAAACTTAAAATTTCGATTTTTTTTGTTATTTGGGACTTTCGGAGCACCATTGCAGTTCTCATTTTTCCCATTATCTTACAGATTTTGAAACTAGCTTTTAATTTTTGCAATAATATAAGCTAGTTTCAAAATCTCTTAGGTAAAGGCTTGAACTTTGAAACTTAAAATCTTGTCCTAAAAACTTCAAAGCCTAAAACAATCCGTTAAAGCTTAAGAATCTATAAGATAATGGAAAAAATGAGAACTGCAATGGGGCCCCAATAAAGAGATCATTTTGTTTTAAAATTTAATGAAAATAAGGTTAAGCAATGATTCGCTCATTGTTTTATAGCTCTCCTTCCTTTTGTTTTATAGCTTTTATAGCTCATTGCTTTATAGTTTTTATAGCTTATTGTTTTATAGCTTTTATAGCTCATTGTTTCACTTTCTGTTTATCTAAATTACTCTGTGAAATGGCTATAAGGTAAAAGAATCGAATACAATTCTTTGAATCGAATACAAAAATTCAAAGAACAAAAAGGAGACTCAAAAGAACAAAAAGGAGACTCAAAAGAACATCGTTTTCACAGGAAAAACTCGGTTCACAGATCAACACCGAAGAAAAAAAGAAAGAGGAGAAAGGAGTTTTTTTTTAATTTTCGATTGGTGACCTTCGACCGAAATGGGGGAAAGGGGAAAACCCTCAGAGAAATCCCAAAGAAAGAAAGAAAGAAAAAAGTCACTCAAAAAATCATACACAGTGTATTTCTCTATTTTCCCAGTTGGGTTTTTGGGGAAAATTTTGATGGAGACACTTATTTTCTCAACTTTTTTTTCTAAAATCTCCTATCCACGTGTGTGCACAAACAGAAAGAGGTCAAAACTCGAGGAAAATCAGTTTTTTATTATAATTGTATATAGACAAGATACTGAATGAGTGAGTTGAAAAAAATGAGAAAAAAAAATGAAACTTGAGTCTGTTTATTTGTTGAAATGAAACAACTTTGAATTGTCAATATTTTTGCGAAAAACATCTTAAATTTTTTGAAACATCAGATTTTTTAACGATCAAAATGCACTGAATAACAAAATTTTCAAGATTTTTAACTAGTAGCTAGAAGGTGTTTTGAGGTTTTGTCTTTTAATTTACTTTAGTGTACTTTACTTTACACTACTTTAGTACTATAGACAATAGATTACCTAAATGTACCCATTTACAATCAAAATGCACTGAATAACAAAATTTTCAAGATTTTTAACTAGTAGCTAGAAGGTGTTTTGAAGTTTTGTCCTTTAATTTACTTTAGTGTACTTTACTTTACTTTACTTACTTTACTTTACTCACTTACTTTACTTACTTTACTTTACTGACTTTACTTTACTTTACTCACTTACTTTACTCACTTACTTTACTCACTTACTTTACTTACTTTACTTACTTTACTTACTTTACTCAGTACTATTACTTATAGACAATAGATTACCTAAACTAGTAGTGAATCTAAAAAATAATCAGACTAGTACAGTATTTTATCGAATATCGAATCAGTATCGAACTGATTTTCATAAAGCAATTTATTTTTTAGCGTTTTTTTCTATTGCATTACTACACTGATTTACGATTTTTCAATTCCCCGCAATTCCCCTACCGACATCACCAATGAAACATTGATTCGGTGAAAACTTTTCCTGAGGTCAGACCGATCTTTCCCCCACACTCCGACCGACTCTCAGCTGGGTAAACATTTATGAAAAAGAACGAGGGAAACCTCGTGAATAAACGGAAGAGTTTTTTTTTTGTTCGAAAAAAGCGAATCAACGAATCGACTCTGGTTCAATTTTTGATGAGACGAAAACGTGGAAAACTTTGGCCGAAAAAGGAAATGTTTGGTGAAAATTTGGTGAAAAGCCGCAGAAACATTAAAAACGAATTCCATCAAAAGTATCAATTCACTTTGAAACTTGCATTTTCATTTTTCGAATTCTCACCTAAACCAGCCTTGGACCCACTTAAGGACACTTGAAATTCTTTAAGATTTTTTTTGAATCAAAGAATCAAAGAGAAATTTTGAAGTGATGACTCGGCTATATTTGTCTTTTAAAATTTGAAAATGTGGGATTTGAAGATTTTTGGGGAAATCCTTTTTTGGGGAAATTCGGTAGTTGTTGAACCCACATAAGAGGACCCCCACTTGACCAAAATGATTTCAAAAAATCGGTTCTGAAGAGGGGGCAAAAAAAATGGGAGAAAGAGGAAATCTCAAGGTCGAATATGTGAATGGTTTATTGAAAATGGGGGAAGTGAGTTGGGGAATTCGATTTTGAAAAAGAGAAAGTACGAAAAAAGTTGAAAGTGAAAAAGAAAGTGAAAAAGAAAGTGGAAAAGAGAGTGGAAAAGAAAGTGGAAAAGAATTGGTTGATTTTGCAGCAATTTTCAAGCAAAAATCGCTTATTAAAAAGGAGTTAGGAGTCCTTAAGTGGGTTCAACAACTACCGAATTTCCCCAAAAATCTTCAAATCCCACATTTTCAAATTTTAAATCACAAATATAGCCGAGTCATCACTTCAAAATTTCTCTTTTATTCAAAAAATCTTAAAGAATTTGCGGGTTCAAGGCTGCTTTTGAATTCAAAAATGGTGAGAATTCAAAAAATGTAAAATCAGAAACGAATTTTATACAAAAAAAGGTAATATTTCGTCTAATTTACAGTATAAAAAGGATTCATTTGATAGACTGAATATCTTTTTTTCAATCTGGTTTCAATTTTGTCTCAATTTGCTTTCAATTTGGCTTCAATTTTAAAAGATATTCAATTTTCTAGCTAATATTTGTTTACTGTAGATTGTGTCTTTAAAAAAAGTAGAAATTTGAAAGAAAAAAACACACTTATTAGCTTCAAATTTTTATGGATTTATGTGAGAAAAGATGAAACATTAATTTTTTAAAACCTGTTTTAAAATTTTTTTTAAAACCCAAATTTTACTCTCGAAATGTTGAAACATGATTTTTTTCAAGCTTATTTTTTAAATTATCTACTAGAAATAGCCTTGCAAGCTTTATTTTTCAAACTCTTTATTTTTTAGGGCAAAAAACACTTAAAATTTGAGTAGTTGTTTATCTAGAGAGCTTAGAATTCATTTCCGGGCTAATCACTAAAAAAGGAAAAGGAGAATCTCCAATTTCTGACTCATTTCCTCCCAATTTGGTCAATTTGCTTCAATTTCTTGCCTTTAAAGGTGAAAAGGATGAAAAAAGAGATGTGACGGAGTTTTTTTTTCTCTAAAGCTTTCCTCAGATAATGACGTTAAGGAATTGGAGATCTTCTTTTGATTGAAACGGGGAAAAGCTACGAGCTTTTTGTTTTTTGCCGCTCAAATGACAAGGAAAACATATTGGACCAATCAGCTTTCAAAGAAAAAAAGAGCTTTCTCAAAAAGAAACCTTTCAAAGTTTCCATTAAAGATCAAATTAAAGATCAAATTAAAGATCAAATCAAAGCGGATCCCACTCAAAATTGAAAACTCAACAACTTTGAAAAGCTTTCAAATTTAAACCCTATTAAGCTTCAGCTTCAAAAAAAACCAACTCTGTTTCCCGCAAAACTTGAAAAGCTTCGAGATGATCGATTTCCCTCTTTTTGGCTCTTGATTCTCCTTGTTTTTTCCATTATTATTTTGTTGATGCCATTGTTGCAGATGTTGAGTGATTTTGTGTGTCGATGGAGGCAATCCTTGAGGACGGGGTTGCACCAATTGACGACCGAGGATTGGCATTTTGACGAATTGAAGAAAGGAATTGAAATAGGAATATCAGTGATCCTCCGGTGATAAATTGGAGGATTTTTGGCGGGATGAGAAGAGTTGGTTGGGGGAAAGCTTGTTTCAAAGTTGTTTCAAAGTTGTTTCAAAGTTGTTTCAAAGTTGATCGGCTTTGTGATCGAGCTGGAAATTGCAGTTTGATGTTTGGTTTTTCTCAAGTTTTCAAATAAGCAAAAACTATCGAAAAAAAACGAATACTGAATTTCAAAAGATCAAATTGCAATAAGGAAAAAGATTTGAAAAGATGGAAAACACGGAAAGCATTGAATTTAACGTAAAAGTACCAATCAAGGCTTCAAAAATGAAATTTTCAAGTGAAATACGCTCTCAGTGAAGCCAGAAAGCCAGCCAGAAAGCCAGAAATTATAGTTGCCCAATTTTCTGTGAGCTTTTAATTACCCGATACGATTTGAGAGGAATTTTCGAGATAATTATCATCTTTGCCTGCACAAAGAACAATTTTTGTATTTCAATTCGGCTAAACTCGAAAGTAGAATAGATTTTAAAAAGTTCAAGTTTCAAATTAGACCATAATTCTATGGGTTTTTCCATTTTAATAATCGCTTCTTTAAAAAATATCTCAGCCTTTTTGAAAAGAATATTTTCAAGAATATTTTCAAGAATGTTTTCAAGAATATTTTCAAATTTGATGCCAAACCTTTTGAAACATTAATCTCATGATGAATCACTTTTTTTCAAATATTCACCAACTAGAGTAAATAATTGCCTCGAAACATGCAAGTATTCTAGTTTAGACGGGAAAAAAAATGAAAAACTAAGTTTTCTGCAAGATCTCAAGAGTTTTGCAAAAGAAAAAAGAAGCATTTGAGAGCATTTGAGTGAATGAATGAGCGAAAATAAGTGGGCGGATGGGGGAAAAAGCGTTGAAATTTTCAATTCAGTAAAAAAGAAAGAAAAGAAATGTTCTAAAAGTGGAAAATTCATTGAATGAATGCCTAGAATGGGCCTAGAGTTCGTTTTTGTGAATTTTTGAGAAGTTCTCGAGATTTGTGGAAAGGTTTTTGGGGGAGAATTGCTGAGAAATGCTGGGAAATGCTGCCTTTGACTTTGCTTTGCCTCAAAGCTTTGCCATTAGGAAGTTGAGGGGTTTTTTTTTTGAAACAGTAAATGAATAAGAAGATTTACAGCTAACCATTTCATTCGTTAAAGTTAATTGGTTTGAAAATGGTTGAAAATGGTTGAAAATCGTTGGAAATAGTTGAAAATCGTTGAAAATCGTTGGAAATAGTTGAAAATCGTTGAAAATCATTTGAAAATCGTTGAAAATCGTTGGAAATCATTTGAAAATGTTGGAAATGTTGGAAATGAAAAGCTCGATTGGAAATGAAAAGCTCGACCTTGGAAAGAGAAGAAATTGAAATAGGCGATTTCTCTCAAATCAAAAAAGGGACTTTGATCGAAAAAATGTACACGAAAAAATGGAGAAATGGGAAAGAAAGGGAAATTAGATTTGAAAGGAATGAGTAGATGAAAGATATTTAATCAAAAAAACTTCAAAAATGAATAAAAAAGGCAAACCTTTTGGAGAACGGGAAAGTTTGAGTTTCAATGTTAAACAGGAAAAGGTTCAAGAAATCATAGTAATAATATTTTGATGTTTGATTCAAAACTATTAAAATTTGATAAAAATCAGTGTTGAAGAGGTGAAATTTATTAGAAAATACCTTATTTGATCGTTAAAAGACGTTAAAAGATGTCAAAAGACGTCAAAATCATTCACAAAATAAAATTAAGTAAACGCTTTGAATTGTCAAAACAAAGATGAGGAGAATTTTGAATTTTATTGGCATTTTACTTGTTGACTCGTGGGATTTACGGGGAAATTTTCGAGAGAATTCTCTGCTCGCGTACTTGTATACTTGTTATTAAATGAAATTAAATAGATAAAAGATAAAAAGTGTTAACAGTTTTTATGAAAAGGCAATTTTCAAGTTAAAGTTTTCAATTTTATTAAAGTAATCAAAAGCAATTGATTCTAATCAAAAAGAAAAAGGGATTTTTAGTTTTAAACAGATTGGTGAAGAAGAGGAAAAGCTAAATTTTCAATTTAATATAATATAAAAGAACAAGCAGAAGAAGCAGAAGAAGAAGAACACGCACAAGAAGAGGATTGAGATTGAACAGAATGGAAAGGCCAAGTTTCAATTTTGATTAGATTTGGATAGCAGTTACGGCAAGAAGTAAGGCAAGAAGTAAGGCAAGAAGTAAGGCAAGAAGTAAGGCAAGAAGTAAGGCAAGAAGTAAGGCAAGAAGTAAGGCAAGAAGTAAGGCAAGAAGTAAGGCAAGAAGTAAGGCAAGAAGTAAGGCAAGAAGTAAGGCAAGAAGTAAGGCAAGAAGCAAGTACGGCAAGTTGCCAAAAAGAATCACCGCAGACGGGATCGAACCCGGAATCTTCCGACCGAGAAACAGACGCTCTGGCAGTCCACATTGCTTCCGATCCTTTTCTGCGTCCTTTACTAGCCTTTATTGAGGATTCTAGGAGGCCCGACTAGTGCTCTGGATTCAAATCAGACATAGTAATGATAGAATTATAATGTAGGAACAAAAATAAGAAAAGATTTTGAGTTTTAAACAGTGCTTATGAGAAGAAGAGTGTTGTGGACTGTTTTTTCGTACTGAAGGGAACCACGAGGCCTCTCCCCTCCCTCCAAACACCCAACACAGCCCACCTCTCCCATTCCCTTTTCCTTTTCCCCAATATATTCCCCCAAACGATTCTTCCCAAGCACCGCCCCTTTCTTTTCCTTTCTTTCTCTTTCTTTCCCCTTCTTTCTCTTTCATTCCCTTTCTTTCCCCTTCTTTCCCCTTCTTTCTCTTTCATTCCCTTTCTTTCTCTTTCTTTCCCCTTCTTTCTCTTTCATTCCCTTTCTTTCCCCCTTCTTTCCCCTTCTTTCTCTTTCTTTCTCTTTCTTTTCCCTTCTTTCTCTTTCTTTCCCCTTCTTTTCCTTTCTTTCCCCTTCTTTCCCCTTCTTTCCCCTTCTTTCCCTTTCTTCCCCTTCTTTCTCTTTCTTTTCCTTTCTTTCCCTTTCTTTCTCTTTCTTTCCCTATTTTTCCTTCTCTTTTCCCCTTTTTTAATATCTTATCCTTTAAATTTTTTTTTGTTATTTTCGACGTCACCGATTAATTAGAAAAAAGAACTTCTCTTTTATCTTTTTAGATGAATCAATTTTTGAAACAAAAAGTTCTAGCCTGGAATCTAGAGGATCTAATTGACCAAGCGAGTTCGCCAATCAGAATGTGATCGCTTAGCCTTTAAAAGTTCAAAGAACAGAAGAAAGAGCTGATTTCAGCAAATAAAATAGCTGAGCTATCGTAGTTGAAGTGCTTTAAACTATAGCATAAAAACTAAAAGCTACTTTACTACTATAAGCTCTGAAAATGAAAAAGTTTGAATAGAACCTGATTAAGAAATGAAAGCTTTAGGCGACGCTAGAACTAGTTCGATTGAAGTTTGAAATCAAAAGTTTGATTTCAAATTTCAACGTTGATTGAATGATTTAAAAATTGATCGATTGAGAGAGCAATTCAGCCTCAATGTTGAGCATTTACCGTATTTACTCTATTAGTGGGGTCCTCCACGATTTTTTCGATCCCCTTCCAGACGACCCCACTATTAGAGAGGACCCCACTAATAGAGTAAATACGGTATGCTGGCATTCTGCCTCAATGTTGGGCATTTATGCTGATTTATGTTTATAGCTGGGCCAGACTCCATTCTGCCTCAATGTTGGGTTTCAAAGAGTTGAGCCTAATCCGGTAATTATTCGAAAGTTAATATAGGGTAACATTAGCAAAAAGAAGGCTATCGAAAAAGTTGTTTTCTTTTAAACAATACTTTTACAATAAGCAAACAAAGGAGAAATTTTTATGAAAATTAACATTTATAGCTTAAAATAGCGAGTATAGCTTAAAATATGAGTCAAAAATATGAGTTTCAATTGCTTAGACTCGACAGTTTTTGCTAATAGCTTAGTGTTTGCTAATAGCTTAGTTTTTGTATTACTTTGAATTCGAGGTTATCGGAAAAGTTGATTTCTTTTAAACAATACTTTTACAATAAAGCAATTTCTTTTTATAAATATTATAATCTTTAAGCTTTAAGTGAAGCTCGAAGTATTAGGTTGATGCAAAAGTCTTTTTCATTTTTTTCGTACTTCCGTTAAAAAGTAACAAATGCACCAATTGAACAACGGTTTATTGCATTCGAAAGGTCAATTATTTTTCTGCAAAATGACATTAAAACGAGTTTAAAATGTCTTATGTCTAGATTTTTTGAGAGCCTGAAGTCGGGTAGTCAAAAAAGGCGACGGCCTCGATGATGCATTTTAGACGCTTTAGCTAAGGAAACCAATCTTGATGTTAATAAATAAAAGATAGAGCACAAAAAGTTAGATATTTTTTCAGATTTTCAGAGAAATTGATTCAGCCAATTTCTTTATAGAGGTTTTTATAGATTTTTATGAAAAACCCGTTTTTCACTCTCGAATTTGCTTGAAAGTGAACCCAAATTGACTTTAAAAAGATGGGAAATTCAACAATAAGCACTTTTCATTTAGAGCAAACCATAGGTTAATTGATGACTTTGTTATTTTTCAAAAGAAGTACGAAAAAAATGAAAAAAGACTTTTGCATCAACCTAATAGTTTTATTTGAAATTTGACAATTTGTAATCAAGAAGTTTCAAATTTGATGTCGATAGATGGCCGTTTTAATATTAAAGTTTCAAAGCTGGCAACTACACTACTGGACAATCATATTTGAAAAATGATCGTCACTTTCGCGCGTCTGTAACTCCCCTTGTCTTTGAGTTTAAACTATTAGTGTTATCCATTTTCTGAAAGCTCTTTTCAAGGGCTACACAATGGTAATATTAATATTTAGAAATACGGTAAAGACAATGGAGTTACAGACGTGCGAAAGTGACGATCTTTTTT